ATATAGATTAGGAGCAAGAGAAGACAAAGTAAAGCATACGTCCTCTACTTAGCAGGGAAGGAGAGCTAACAACTGATGACACCAAGAAAGGGTGACACCAAATGCAAAGTACTACACTTAAGGAGGAAAAAATCAAATGCACAAGAAAGGGTGTTTAATACCTATTTTGCTTCAGTCTTCACTAAAAAGATTAATGGTGAACAGATACTCAACACAATTAATATTAACAACACGAGGCAAGGAACACAAGACAAAATAGGAAAAGAACAGGTTAAATAATATTTAGATAAGTTAGATATATTCACATTAGGAAGGTCAGATGAAATTCACTCCAGCTGAAGAAATCTTGGGACTGTTAGTGATTATCTTGAGAACCCATGGAGAATGGGTGAGGTTCCATAGGATTGCAGAAGGGCAAACAAAGGTGACTCAGGAAACTATAAACCAGTCAGCCTAACTTCAATATCTTGAAATTATTAAACCATCAATTTGCAACCACCTAAAACCACCTAATTTCCTTCTTTGACTGGGTTACTGACCTAGTGGAACAGGGGGAAGCAGTAGACACTATACATTTTGGTTTTAATAAGGCTTTTGACACAGTCCTACATGACAGTTTCATAAGTAAACTACAGAAATATGGTCTAGATGAAATTACTATATGGTGGGTGCACAATTGATTGAAAAACCATACTCAAAGTGCAGTTATTAATGGTCACTGTCAAACTGGGGGGGAGTATCTAATAGAGTACCATGGGGTTGATCTTGGGTCTCGTACTATTCAATATTTTCATTAATGACTTGGATAATGGCGTGGAGAGTATACACATAAAATTTTCAGATGACATCAAACTGGGATGGGTTGTTGGCACTTTGGAGCTCAGGATAAGAATTCAAAATGACCTTGACAAATTGGAGAATTGGTCTGAAGTCAACAAATGATATTCAATAAAGACAAGTGCAAAGTACTACACTTAAGGAGGAAAAAATCAAATGCATAAATACAAAAGAATGATGTGACTGTCTAGGGGGTAATACTGCAGAGAAAGATGCAGGGATTATAATGGATCACAAACTGAATATAAGTCAACAGTGTGATGCAGTTGTTAGAAAGGCTAACATCATTCTGGGATGTATTAACAGGAGGATCGTATGTAAGACACACAAGGCAACTGTCCCAGACTACTTGGCAATACTGAGGTCGCAGCTGGACTACTGTGTCCAGTTTTGGGTACCACATTTTAAGAAAGATATGGACAAAATGCAGGAAAGCATCAAAAATGAGAAAAAGTTTAAGTTGACCTATCAGGAAAGGTTAAAAAAAAAACTGGGCATGCTTAGCCTTGAGAAAAGAAGACGGGGGGACCTGACAGTCTTCAAATATGTTATAAAGAGGATGGTAAGCAATTGTTTCTCCATGTCCACTGAAGATGGGACAAATAATACGCTTAATCTGCAGCAAGGGAGATTTAGGATAGACTTTAGGAAAAACTTCCTAACCATATGGAAAGGTAAGTACAGGAATAGGCTCTGAAGGTGGTCACAGAATTTCTGTTTTTAGAGGTTTTTAAGAACAAACACTCCTCAGGGATGATCGAGGTACACTTGGTCTTGTCTCAGCACATGGGGGAGGACTGGATAACATCTCGAGGTCCCTTCCAGCCCTACATTTATATGATTCTATGACACTTCCACACTCAGATTTCAGGGGCATGATCAGGCCTCTGGTTACTACAAACACAAATTATGCAAACATGCATTTGGGATCATTAGGACCTGACTTTTTTCAAACGCAAATAAGAAGCCTGAGAAGTAATACTTGTTATTTATTTTTGGGAAGGGGAGGGCAACAATTGTCAAGGTACCTACTCTGATTTACTGTTAGATGATGAACCCTCCCTCTTCTCTTCACAACCCTTCCAGCCTCTAAGCCAAGATGACATGCTCTTCCACTGCCTGAACCCCTTCCTGCTAAACTCCAGTACTGCTCCACAGATGTAAACCTTCAATTTGACATATGCCAGTTAACAAACCTTCCCTCTGCCTTCAACTAGCATACCAACCTCCTTCCCATTTGACCAATCTCCCTGCAAGCTCATCCATACGACCCCCCTCACATTGCCCTCACCAGCTGTTAAAGCCTCCCTCTACTTCCTGATAAGTACCAGATCATCTGCTGTACTACATGTCCCTTGTTTAAAAATAGAGAGGGTATCATATTTACTTATACTGTGGTGAACACTAGCATACCACTATGCATGTAACCATCTTCTTCTCTTTTCTTATCCATGGGAAGAGTTCAATATTGCATACCGTATATCTGGTTCATGAGATCATATACACAGAAAAGATCCTTTTGCCACCTTCTGCATGCAGTAGGTTACCATATCAAAGAACAATGTCTGTTACTGCATGTGAGATAGCGTGTCATTTAAAATATACATATTTGTCTGTGTGTGTGTAGACTGTAATACAAGGAAGGGGCCACTCTCCTATTATCTCATATGAATTACTACGTCCACATATTAATGTTTGGCATTAAACGTAGGTTCCCTCCATGTAATCACTCAACTGCTCATTAATCAACATTAATCAAGCCAATGGCACTCTTGTTAAGAATAATGGAGCTCTTTAGTCATTGCAGGAACCCAGTTCCCTTTAGAGTTGAGGGTCCCGAAGGAGCGATCACTTAGAAGAGAGCTAAGATACAGGCTCTGTTACTTTTATTATTTTAACCAATCTTCCAGCTCTCATGGGAAATTAGCTTATTTGAGCAGAGCACTGGAGCCATATTGTATTTCTGTCACTGATGCTGGAGTTATTATGTAATGACCCTGGCTTTGGAAATGTCATCATTTTATCCTCTTCTACATTCTGGTTCAAAGTAAACAAATTAAATTACATATCTCATCCCAGCCCCCTTCCTTCTTTCTGGCCTTGAGAGGCTTCTTTATATAAAGTAACAACAACAACCTTTAAAATAATTTATGAGTGTAATATTTAACAAGTGCAGTATTTATGAAAAATCTTCTCAGATACCCCTCCACAATACTAACATTAGCTAAGCCAGAATACCCCTCATAGTCACTGTAGGCTTTGCATGTTAGCAGAGAAATCCTTCAGACCTACCTTGACTCAGTGAGCTTCTAGGGTATTCCCAAAACTACATATATTCTACAACAGAAAAATAAAAAGGGCTTCTTAAGAAACCTTGGGGTAATAATTCTGTCAGTATGACGTAAGTAAGGTCATAAAAGGCTAAAACCCTTACTTTTCTTCATGAAGATTTGCTTGTTGTAATTGCATCTATATGTGCAGCCTCTATTTGTGAAGGGTGCAATCAGAACCTTGTCTGGCTCATTTAACTACTTCTCTGCTTGTATTTTGACAGTGGGTTTGGGGAAATCTGTTAGTTTGCTATAGTAAGTTTCAAATTCATTTCCTGGAAGCATCTATGTAGGTACAACTAACTCCACTGAATGTTCATAGAAAAAAAAAAGGTCCAAAATTCGAAGTAAATTCATTTTTAAATTCTGATGAATACTTGCAGAACATCCTCCCCAGCATTTGCCCAGCTCTAATAACATGTTGGAAAAGATCTTTAGGTTACGTCTGGAACAAACATGCGAGTAACTCAGCTTCATTTACTTATTCAGCCTTGGGTTTCTTCTTGTTTTTGAGGGAATTGTGACTGCTTACCTAAAGACAGACACCATGAAACAATGTTTCACAGCATGAGTTGCCACCACTCCATAGTCTGACCACAATGACCAGTAGAACAATCCAATTCTGATGCGTAGTGGGCCTTCTTTGCCCACTGAGAAGGTGGAGCATTTGGCCACAAAGGAACAATTCTGTGCAATGCAGAACCATATTTATTATATTCCTAAACCACTTGTTATCATTTTATCTAAGTGCCAATACACACAACAGAAGAGAGGAGTCCAATGCTAACATCAGTTAAACTTCTCACTGTAATCTTTGTTTTCAAAATAAAAAGTCACTTTGAGAGATGCTCAGTTATTACGAATGGCTACATTTCCAACCCAACCTATGCATTTTGCTGCATTGCAACTGAGTGGAACACAATGTACGGTTAATATCTTTCTCTTGTACAGAAGATGGATGTGCTCTTATGTTTTCTTTCCTCCTTTGACCTAACCTCAGAATTGTACATAAAGAGTCTGCTTTTCAGTAACCCTGAATGGGATTATCACTCATATGTCAAGAAATGGCATTCGTACTTGAGACACTGTACCAAGAGTTGTGGTGGGTTACAGAAGAACAGAGAAACTAGCACATGCTTTGTATTATTCTAAGAAGCAGCTGTGTATTTATGCCTTCTTATGCAATAAGCATGCAATTATGGCATGTAGTGAGTAAGCACCTGGGGCAGGCCTGGTATTTCACAATAACTTCACATCCTGAAATAGCTTACTAAAAAATATGATTTGGCTTTGAAAAAATAATGTTTCACCCTTCTGTCATCACCTTTGGGAGACAGACATTTTGAGTCTTATGAATAAGTGTTGTTTTAATTAAGATCATTTTGCTGAGGTTAAATACAGTTCTGAGACAGGCTATATTAGCTTAGTGTCCACAGCAGTGCTCAAACTGTGAATACTCCAGATTTTAGAATACTTACCAGCGTATTACAGACCCACAAATACAGACATGTTAGAAAATATATTTGACACCCTGGTTATGATAATCTCACCTTCTAAGAAGGAATAGTTTTAGTAATCTGAGGAAGAAAAATATTTTAAAGGTGAAGGAGAAGAAACGTTCAGACCCCTTTTTCTCCTGCCCAGTAGACATTATCACCACCACACACTTCACAGTGGAACCGAAGAGGCTCTGCTGATGAGGGAACTCCACAGCCATGTAAGTGAGTAACGGATTTACCCATAAGGTTATGAGACGGTCTACATTTAAAGAAAATATAGTAAAAATACACAACATCCTATCACCAACTGATGTTTTCTTGAGGAAAAACTTACAGATCGCCATAGACCAGGCCATATATCTGTGCCATGCTCTGATGATAGACCCCTCGCAGGATAATTAATAGCAGAATCACAACGAAAGCTGGAAGTCCCCAACTCAAAAGGAAGAAAAGCAGATAGCGCCGCTGTGTGTGTTCATCATTCATCACCAGGACATACCAGAAATTAATAGCCTAAGGAATAACACAGATCATTAAATCAGCAGTGTTTAAGGAATAATTAACCTTTCCATCAAATAAAACATTCAGAAAGGCAGACTATACACTTTTGAATCCATATCTATGTTTTCCTCAGCATCAATATTTGTTCCCCTTTTCCCCCCTCAAATAACCAGAAGAGGTTAGTTGCCCAGGAAGTAGGGTTATTTTTGTGGTTCGGTTAAGCTTGAGATTAGCCTGCTGGAAGGAGATACATCCAAGTTAGCCCAACATAAAGCCAGTTTCTGCACTGAAAAAACCTGGTTTTCCTGAGCTTCTACAGACTCACCTGGAACACTGACACATAATTTTGTAAAATCTGATCTCTCCTGAGCTGTGTCTCTGTATCTTTTTACAGGATATGCAGCAAGCTGCTTCTACAGTTCTGCTTATGAACTTGATAAGGAAGTGTCATTCAAATTGTATTTTAATGTAATGTACACAGTGACAGTGAAGAAATTCAGATCACAGATACTGCACAGATGACAGAAAGAGTGCCATGAAGCAAAACAGAGACACATGGTCTATGTGTAGACTATTCTGGACTCTAGAAGAATCCTGATTTCTGTGAAGGTATCAGTTGGTCTGAGGACTGAATAATTTTTCTTTCGTGGTAAATAGTTAACCTGGCCCATTGACTTTTCAGATGAACTGGGAGGAAACTTCATGAGCAGAATCTCACTGAATTTTCTTTTCCTTTGGCTTACTTTGATGGTCTTCCCACATGTTGGGGTAATGCACGTCAATGTTCTCTGTTTGGGGTAGAGAAATATAGAAAGCATGCTTGGTATTTGTGAACAGATTCCCTTTTCCTCTGCTTCTTCACCAAACATAGTGGAGATGAATTTTTACTGTTTGAGAAAGCAAATGCTTGACCATTCTCTTCCAGTTGGATTAATGGAACTGGTGAAATCCGCATACATCTAGGCAGACATATGTAAGGATTCTGGGTTATATGAACTATTGAGGAAAACTCATGGGAGGAAAACTCAAAAAAAAAAAAAAAAAAAAAGGAGGAATGCAATTAGTATAAAAAGTTGAGAAACAGAATGCAAATAAATAAATAAATTGAAGCATGTGTTCACATCAATCATTAAGGTAACCAGTGTTTTTTTAAAGTTCAGCTCATTATAATCAAACAAAATAATCCAGGGACATATAAAATATCTCTGACCTAAAATGATCGAGTAGCATACTAGAGGTCTCCTGAGAATACAGCTAAATGAGACAGTAAACACCTCAAACAAACTGCTAAAATTTTGCAGCATGCAAAAGTACAATAGTGTAGAAGATATTTTCCAACACCAACCACTTTGTTTTACTTTCACAGGGAAGGTAGTGCAAAATAGCCAGGATGTGAAATTAAATAGCTATTCTTCACTCCCCAGGTGGAGACTCTTATCATTTACTAAGGGTATGTCTACACTATGAAATTAGGTCGAATTTATAGAAGTCGGTTTTCAAGAAAGCGTTTTTATATAGTCGATTGTGTGTGTCCCCACACAAATGCTCTAAGTGCATGTAGTCGGCAGAGTGTGTCCACAGTACCGAGGCATCCTTGACTTCCGGAGCGTTGCACTATGGGTAGCTATCCCACAGTTCCTGCAGTCTCCGCCGCCCATTTGAATTCTGGGTAGAAATCCCAGTGCCTGATGGGGCTAAAACATTGTTATGGTTGGTTCTGGGTACATATCATCAGGCCCCCCTTCCCTCCCTCCCTCTGTGAAAGCAATGGCAGACAATCGTTTTGCGCCTTTTTTCTTGAGTTACCTGTGCAGACACCATACCACGGCAAGCATGGAGCCCGCTCAGCTAACCATCACCTTATGTCTCCTGGGTGCTGGCAGACGTGGTACTGCATTGCTACACAGCAACAGTTTATTGCCTTTTGGCAGCAGACAGTGCAGTATGACTGGTAGCCATCGGCTACATAGTCCAGGGTGCTCTTTTAACCGACCTCGATGAGGTCGGGGCACCTGGGCAAAGATGGGAGTGATTCAGCCAAGTCATTTCCCTTTTAAGTTTCGTTTCATGGCAATTCAGTCCTACCGGCAGTGTACTATCTTTTAATCTGCAGCCAGCAGAAGACAATGGCTAGCAGTCATACTGCACCGTCTTCTGACGAGCACCCAGGAGATGACGATGGCTAGCGGTCGTACTGCACAGTCTGCTGCCAGCAAGATGTATAAAGATAGATGAAGTGGATCAAAACAAGAAATAGACCAGATTTGTTTTGTATTCATTTTCTCCTCCCTCCCTCCTTGAAATCAACAGCCTGCTAAACCCAGTTCTGAGTTCTATCCTTGAGGTTTTGAGTTCTATCCTTGAGGGGGCCATTCTGTTTCTCGCAAAGCCACCCCCTTTGTTGATTTTAATTCCCTGTAAGCCAACCCGGTAAGCCATGTCATCAGTCGCCCCTTCCTCCGTCAGAGCAATGGCAGACAATTGTTCCACGCCTTTTTTCTGTGCAGACGCCATACCACAGCAAGCATGGAGCCCGCTCAGATCACTTGGCAATTAGGAGCACATTAAACACCACACACATTATCCAGCAGTACATGCAGCGCCAGAACCTGGCAAGGCGAAAACGGGCGAGTAGGCGATGTCAGCGCGGTGACGAGAGTGATGCGGACATGGACACAGACTTCTCTCAAAGCATGGGCCCTGGCAATGCGGGCATCATGGTGCTAATGGGGCAGGTTCATGCGGTGGAACGCTGATTCTGGGCTCGGGAAACAAGCACAGACTGGTGGGACCGTATAGTTTGCAGGTCTGGGATGATTCCCAGTGGCTGTGAAACTTTCGCATGCATATTCGCATGCATATGTATTTAAAAAGACACATTTTATAGAACAATGGGTACACTCTTTCATGGTAAACCTTGCTGTTAACATTACATACATAGCACATGTGCTTTTGTTCCAAGGTCACATTTTGCCTCCCTCCACTGCGTGGCTAGCCCCTCATCCCTCCCCCCTCCCCGTGGCTAACAGCGGGGAACATTTCTGTTCAGCTACAGGCAAACAGCCCAGCAGGAACGGGCACCTCTGAATGTCCCCTTAAGAAAAGCACCCTATTTCAACCAGGTGACCATGAAGGATATCACTCTCCTGAGGATAACACAGAGAGATAAAGAACGGATGTCGTTTGAATGCCAGCAAACATACATTGCAATGTTTTGTTCTACAATGATTCCCGAGTATGTGCTACTGGCCTGGAGTGGTAAAGTGTCCTACCATGGTGGACGGAATAAGGCTGCCCTCCCCAGAAACCTTTTGCAAAGGCTTTGGGAGTACATCCAGGAGAGCCGCGAATGCCAGGGCAAATTAATCAATAAACATGCTTGCTTTTAAACCATGTATAGTATTTTAAAAGGTACACTCACCAGAGGTCCCTTCTCCGCCTGGCGGGTCTGGGAGGCAGCCTTGGGTGGGTTCGGGGGGCACTGGCTTCAGGTCCAGGGTAAGAAACAGTTCCTGGCTGTCGGGAAAACTGGTTTCTCCGCTTGCTTGCTGTGAGCTATCTACAACCTCATCACCATCATCATCTTCCTCGTCCCCAAAACCTACTTCTGTGTTGCCTCCATCTCCATTGAAGGAGTCAAACAACACGGCTGGGGTAGTGGTGGCTGAACCCCCTAAAATGGCATGCAGCTCATCATAGAAGTGGCACATTTGGGGCTCTGACCCAGAGCGGCTGTTCGCCTCTCTGGTTTTCTGGTAGGCTTGCCTCAGCTCCTTAAGTTTCACGTGGACTGCTTCGGGTCCCTGTTATGGCCTCTGTCCTTCATGCCCTGGGAGATTTTGACAAATGTTTTGGCATGTCGAAAACTGGAACGGAGTTCTGATAGCATGGATTCCTCTCCCCACACAGCGATCAGATCCCGTACGTCCCGTTCGGTCCATGCTGGAGCTTTTTTGCAATTCTGGGACTCCATTATGGTCACCTCTGCTGATGAGCTCTGCATGGTCACCTGCAGCTTGCCACGCTGGCCAAACAGGAAATTGAAATTCACAAGTTCGCGGGCCTTTTCCTGTCTACCTGGCCAGTGCGTCTGAGTTGAGAGTGCTGTCCAAAGCAGTCACAATGGAGCACTCTGGGATAGCTCCGGGGGCCAATACCGTCTAATTGTGTCCACAGTACCCCAAATTCGACCCAGCAAGGCTGATTTCAGTGCTAATCCCCTTGTGGGGGTGGAGTAAGGAAATCGATTTTAAGAGCCCTTTAACTTGAAAAAAAGGGCTTCATCGTGTGGACGGGTGCAGAGTTAAATCGATTTAACGCGCTAAATTCGACCTCAACTCCTAGTGTAGACCAAGGCTTAGAGTACTTTTGTGCAGCAATTAGATACCAGTGCCTGGCCTGTGACAGCTGACTCGGGCTGGAGCCTGGGCTCTAGGACTCTGCAAGGTGGGAGGGTCCCAGAGCTCAGGCTGCAACCTGAGCCCAGAAGTCTACACTGCAATGAAACAGCCCCACAGCCTCAGCCCCAGGAGCCCAAGCCAGCTGGCACGGACCAGCCCTGGGTTTTTATTGCAGTGTAGATATACCCTTAGTGCAGAATCAAAGAATCCACATGAGAGTTGGCGCAAAATAGTTATACAGCAATAGATATTCTACAGTAGCTATTCCAGGCTTTTTCTCCCTGTAGACAAGCCCTTTATAAGGCCTTAATACTATCCATATAGGTAGTCTTCTGTGTCGTACATTTGGTGACCTATTTCTTTGCTTTCTTTGCTTCATCTCAAATACTATACGAACTAGAGTTGGGCAAATAATTGATACAATGATTTTAGTCATTTTTTGGTTTACAGATGGTCTGTTAAGAGATTGCAAAATTACCAAATGGATTTGTTGTTCAAAAATATTTGTGAATTTCTTCAGCCAAATTCTTGGCTTTCAGTTCATCCAAGTAGCAAACTGTGAATTCTACTATCAAGTATTTAATTTGTGCTGAGTGGGTTAGTTATGTAAGT